ATGTCTGGACGCTCCGTCGACTAGTCGGTCAATACAAGGGAGTGGATAGGCATCCTTGGGGCAGGCCTTGTTGAGGTCGGTATAGTCGGTACACATTCTCCACTTCTCATTAGCTTTTTTTACCAACACCACATTGGCTGGCCAGGTGGTGTAAGTGACCTCTCTGATGAATTTGGCTTGCAACAATTTTTTCACCTCGGCGTCGGCTGTTTTCCTTTTCTCGTCGCCCATCTTTCTTTTCTTCTGTGCAACTGGTCGAGCGTCTCGACATATGGCTAGTCGGTGACACAGGAATCTAGGATCTATCTCCGGCATATCCGACGACTTCCATGCAAACAAGTCTCTGTTGTCTCGAACCGTTCGCTTCACCTGGTTCGAATCGTTCTCATTTAGCTGAGATCCCATATGTGCGACCTGCTCGGGTGTCCGCCCGAGTTGAAAAGAGACGAGGTCTTCGGCCGACTCAATTCGATCTTCCTCACCTAGGCGCAGATCGAGATCTAGACCCTCTGTCATCTCCTGTCCGATCACATTCACACCTTTTGCCGTCGGCGAGGGGTTGGCGATGGGTTGGACTTTTAAGCTGGAGAGATAACATTCCCTTGCCGTCTTTTGATCAGCATGGACGGTTATTACTTGTCCATCCCTCGACGGGAATTTCATGCACAGGTGAGGGATCGACACGATGGCTTGTAGCGCGTTGATGGAGGGTCGGCCGAGTAGGACATTGTAAGATGTGCTTGCATGTACCACGATGTAGTGGATTTTAATTTCTCGGGAGGACTTTTGGTCGAAACCGAAGCGAGTGTACAAGTCGATGCACCCTCTCGTCATCACTCTTTCGCCGGAAAATCCTACTAGCGGCTCATGATACGGTTCTAGACTTTCTTCCAGAATTCCCAACTGCACGAAAGTGTTCCAATATAAGATATCGGCCGAGCTCCCGTGATCGACTAGTGTTTTCTTTACAATGCAGTTGTGCATGACCGAAATCACCATGGGGTCGTCTTGGATAGGATCGACCCCGCGAAAGTCCCGATCAGAGAAGGTTATAGGTGGCATTCTCGGCAGCCTGGGCTAATTCACATTATTGGCTGATCGGACAGCACAGAGGTGTCGCTTTCGTGCGGAAGAGGTGGATTCTCCCCCAGCAAAACCTCTGGCAATTGTGTTGATCACCTTCCATGGTCGGTCGCTATCCTCTCTGGGATGTCTTGTCCGATCGTGCCTCTCGGCAGATCGGGATCGGTGACGTCGGTCTCTTGGCTGACGAGCGTCACGAGGCTGGTGCTCTCTCTTGATTGATTGACAGTCTTGAGGGGTGACAAAGCTTCTGAGATGACCCTGCTTGATGAGGTCTTCCAATTTGTCTTTTAGCGCTGAGCATTCTTCTGTTGAGTGTCCCCTATTTCGGTGGAATCAACATGTCTTGGCTTTGTCGGCTCTAGGGGGTGTGTTCGCCCTTTTCGGCATTGTAAGGATCTCCGATGCGAGGGCCTGCTCCATCACCTTTGCCCTACTAGCATTGAGGGGGGTATACGTTGTATAGCGTGGTCATTTTGGGGGTCGAGCGTTTGAGGGTTCGACATTCGGCTTTTTTATTGATTCTCGGCCGGATTCCTTTCGACTATAGTTTTCCTCGGCCCTGGCTTGGTTACGGGTTTTCGCCAGCTCTTCCATTTGCATGTACTTTTCAGCTCGGCGCCGGAGATCGTTCATGTCAATAGGTGGCTTCTTGCACAGGCTGTTCACGAATGGCCCTGGCCTGAGTGCAGTGCTCAGTCGGTCTAATGCCACGGCGGGATTAAGATCACCTATCTCCATCGCAATTTTGTTAAATCGGTCCATGAAGCTCCTCAGGCTTTCTTTCTTTTCTTGACGAACCCCCGCTAGTGCTAACGAGGTCGTCCTATACGGTTTGCTCGTCGCGAATTAGAGAGTAAATTGGGATTACAACTCGTTGAACGAGTCGATGGAAGAGCTCGACAATCTCGTGAACCAGCTCAGGGCTCTTCCTTTTAGCGATGTAGGGAATATTCGGCACAAGGCCGAATCGTCTTGAGTGGAGAGGGTCGCTTGTGTCAAGAATACGTTCGGGTGTTCATCCGGGTCGGTAGATCCGTCGTACTTTTCGATTGGAAGACTCTTCCAATGGTCCAGTAGGGTTGCTTCCATTATCCTTCGTGAGAAAGGGTGTCTTAAGGAATAAACGCTGGCGTCGGCCTTGTTACCCGTTAGAGATGTGACTGGTGTTCGGGTCACGTGATCGGTTGGGGCATGGTATGCCGACTCCTCTTGGAGAGTAGGAGTCGACGACACATATGTTTGATTCAGACTCCTGAGCTCGGCATTTTGTCTACGCAGTTCGGCCAGCTCTCGTGCATCGGCCTCTCTTTGTCTTCGGATGGCAGCCATTTCTTCGCGCAGTGCGCGCATGTCATCTTGGAGGTCGGGCTGAGCTTGGCTGGTGTTCGGCTGGGCCTCCCGTATCGCAGGCTCCGGCTGGGTCTGAGGCATTCCGTACGGGTATCGTTCTTGGTTGTTCATGGTGGGATTGTTCTCGGGGTTAGGAATCGGTTGAGTCGTTGTTGATTGTCCCTTGCACGTTACTACCATGTCTTGGTCTCAGACGTACAGTTCGGAAGGGGCTGAAAATGTCTCTTCGGCCCCACGGTGGGCGCCAAATGTTCCTGTGTTAGGAAACACACTTCAATTATCTTCGTAGCAGCGGGTCTGGTCTTAGGTCTCGGTCTTCTCGTTCCAACCCGGGTATTTCGAAGTGAGGGGGGGGCGCCTGCAAAGACACTCCGACGCTCAAGTAAGTGTTCGGCGTAATAAATGCGGTAGGTAGAAAAATTGGTTACATACCTCGAAGGTGGTCTATTTATAGTGTTTCTTATTGGGACGTGATTAGGAGCTGGGCCCCGAAAAATTAGGGAGCTAATCCAGCTTATTCCTTAAATTAATCCTTTCGTAATCATACTGGTGGAGTCCCGGGGATCGGTCGAGCAGACTGATTCCTTCCGTTTGGTGAGGGGCCGGTCTGTTCGGGTATTGGTTTCGGTCTATGTTGGGTTCGGGTATTCGGTCGGATCGGTCGGGTCGGCCTCGATCCCATACGGTATAATTTACTTCTGTGGTAATAATATTGTTTTCTTATATCCTTCCTCAAGGTAGTGTCTTTCTTATATATATATATATATATATACACATATATATATACAGATTCAAATCAAACAAAATTCTCTCCAACAAAAAATATTATATATATATATATAGGGAGCGTATTAAGTGAGAAGTTTTTATTGTGAGAATGTGAGAATGTGGAAATATAACCCTTAAATTAATCAAGTGAGAGAAAATTTAGAATTTAATCAAGTGAGAAAAAATTAATCTAAGGGTTATATTTTCACCTTCTCACAATAAAAACTTCTCACTTGATACGCTCCCTATATATATATATATATATATATATAAACTCACAATTTATTGTTTTCACTATTGCAACAACAATTGACCCCCTAAACCCTAAACCTCTTTTACGGTGGAGTTGTACAAGGATCTGGATAGATCATATGTATTTATTTTATTAATACAACTTTGTTTTGCTGACAAAAAAGAAAAAGAAAAAAAAAAGAGTCAAATAGAGGGCTCTTAATAATTTTCTTAAACCAAATGGCGAGGTAATAGCTTGGATCACATTTTGTGCTCTAATGAAATCAATTGATGCAACTATTGAATATTGTTGATTTCGAACATATCAGAAATTTCAACCTTGAATACAAATGTACAATATTATCGTGAGCATAGATGTTCATTCTGAATATGTCTTAACTAATTCACCTACATGCATGGTTAGGACTATCAGTAAATTAACTTCTAAAATCAATAAAAGATTATTAAACTACACAAGGAATTAATGTGTATGTTAATCTTTTAGGCGACAAAAAGAGTTACGGAGTATTCAGTGGCCGGAAAATTTAACTATCTTTTATTAAGTCTCTTAATATATCTAAAATTTATTCTTCCTAGTTTAAAATTTAACTGTTTTGTCTATTAACTTTTAAAACATACTTTCTCTTTTATAGTTTTTTATTCTCTTTTTACTCTACTTCCTCGTAAATTTATTTTTTTTAGACTTTTATATCTTCTAAATAAATATTTAAAACCACTCACACCTTCTAATTATTAATCACTCAAATATATTTAATTTTAATTATTTTTATCATTTATTTTATCTTTATTTTTTTAAACAAATTCACAAAAAAAAACACTAAATACATACTTTTTTTTTTACTTTAATACCACTAATTAAATTAGCTTAATTTAATCTTTTTATCATATATCATTCAAGCTCGATTGATAATATTCATATTCAAATAAAAAAATTCTGATAAGCACTCAGAATTTTTTTTTTGGTGAATCAATGAGCATTTAGATTGAATGTAGATAAAGATTAATCCATCCCAGTCTATCTTATAAATGCTTTTAGTGTTGGCATTAAAATGAAGATGGACTAGCATGCTCTCTCATCGGCAAAGACTATGTTGATGATTTTAGGAACAACCATAGATAACGTAATTTTTTCCGTCACATTTTCATTGTTTTTAACTATTTTGATATTTGGCAACTTCGATGAGCTTTATAAATTAGTGTCTTGTGGCTTGTGCTGTTATGTCCAGAGGAATAATTACTCGGCAATTGATATGTGTTTTGATCGATATTTTTGAAGGGTCACTAAATTAGTTTAGGTATTAGCTTAATGGTTCAATCACACGGTGAAACTCTACTAGTTTGTGTTTACTTTGCAGTTGGTACGTATAAGCCAATTGGCAACACACATTATAGACGACTGAATGATTCAACAGTTTTTTTAAATATTTTTTTTTCTGGAGTATTACAAGAAGAAGAATATTACATATTGATGCCAAAAATTATAGTAATATATTGTACCGGCCTAGGTAGCATTTAAAAGCTGTTACTTGTGTCCTCAACAAAAAACCACCCTCTCTCTCTCTTAAACCTTTTGGAAGTTTGATTTGGGTGAATGATATGGGTCATAGTGCAGGTTTTGTGAGATGGTGGATGGTGTTGTTATTGGGCCTAGGCCTATGCCATTTTCCCTCGACCAAAGCGAGCCACAAGAATGCTTACGCGACCATGATGTACATGGGAACGCCCAGAGACTACGAATTCTACGTTGCTGTTCGTGTTCTCCTTAAATCCCTTTCCAAACTTAACGTCCATGCTGATCTCCTCGTCATTGCTTCCATTGATGTCCCTCTCCCATGGATTCAAGCTTTGTAAGTATCCCTGTCCTTCACTTCCTAGTTTTATTATTATTTATTTTTTCTCATTTTCCCCTTGCTTTACGCCGTTAATTATTTTTATAAGCTAATGTAATTTACGTTTGCACGTTAAGTGCAAGAGTTTGTATCCGTTTTTGGTTCCACCAAAAAGTTACTAGTATTATTGTCTCAGCACCTGATCTTCATCTGCCTTCCATTAAACCACCTACTTAAATAATTTTAGAATTCATTTCTCAATTTCTCATGCACCATTTATTACTCTTTTTTAATTTTGTCATCAATACCAGTATAGTATTATTAAATTATCCATTTATATTTCTCTAAGTCCGTTGGATTGACTTCAACTTGTTTCTAACACTTACCTCGTCTATTGTCTATACTATATATATACATCTGTCTAGATGTGGTCTCGCATGTCAATTTTTTTCTATGTAATAATAATGAAAACATTTTATATATTCTTGAAAACATAAAAAAAAATGTAGTATTATTATTTGATAACTAAAAGTTAACGAAGAGGATTCGCAACTAATTTATTTGTTTTTGGAGAAATGTTGCATCATCATATAATATTCTTTTTTTGTCTACTTTATATCTTTATAGAAATATTAACTAAAAATGTAAACCCATTTCATTTATATTCCTTCATGATATTAGAAACAAAATACTATAAAAATATTTAAATTTGTTCTTTAGTTTTACTTTTTACTGGTCAAATGAAAATTGGAGAAGGCAAGAATATCTACTTGCAAAGTTAATTTCACCAACTAGTCAAAGCAATTATTACCCCCTCAATGGCTGAATTACGTGGCCCAGTTTAATTAATTGCAGAAACACAGTTTGATTGATCCAATTAACCATTATGCATTTATTGGGTCGGGGATATTAATAAGCAGGGTTGGTTTTATTTATCAGGGAAGAGGAAGATGGTGCAAAAGTGGTAAGGGTGGAAAACATGGAGAATCCGTACAGACACCAAGATAATTTTGACAAGAGATTTAAGTTATCATTGAACAAACTGTATGCGTGGAGCTTAGTGGACTATGACAGGGTAGTGATGTTGGACGCTGACAATCTCTTCCTTCAAAACACGGATGAGTTATTTCAATGTGGACAATTTTGTGCGGTATTTATCAATCCGTGCATCTTCCATACTGGCCTCTTCGTCTTGCAGGTAATATCGTTCTAAAAATGTAATGTAACTAACTCATTATATTACTCCATTATCCACACAACTTCGTAGGAGTAGTTCGTATGGGTAAAACCATTAATTCTTACTCTGAATACGCCAAAAGGCTACGTACAAATAATGGCTTAGAAATTATACAAAACATGGTTTTTTTTTAGATGACAATGTTACTTTTATATTCAGCATATCTATCAAATTCTTTACGTAATTACCTTAAAAATTATTCTTGATAATTTAATATGGATTGAAATAAACTCTAATAACAGTAGCAGCAAAAAAAGTTATGCACAACTAAATGCTTATGTTTTCGAAAAATGCATTTTTTTTTAATCTTAAATTTGACCATCATAGTTGACCTGTCATATGGGTTATAAATTATAATATTTGATGTTGGCAGCCATCAATGGATGTGTTCAAGGACATGGTTCATGAATTGGAGAATGGGAGGGAAAATCCAGATGGTGCAGACCAGGGTTTTATAGTTAGCTACTTCCCCAAGTTGCTTGATAAACCAATGTTTCATCCACCTCCTAATGGCACCAAGCTCGATGGATCATATAGGCTTCCTTTGGGTTATCAGATGGATGCTTCTTACTACTGTAAGTTCTTTCAATATATAGTATTTTAAAGTACATGTTTCAAGGGCTTAGTGAAATCTAAGTTTGTGCTAATATGCATGTTGACAACAGATCTTAAACTACGCTGGAGCGTACCATGTTTACCAAATAGTGTGATCACATTCCCAGGGGCACCATGGTTGAAGCCATGGTATTGGTGGTCGTGGCCTGTCCTGCCATTAGGTCTCCAATGGCATGAACGACGTCGTCAAACTTTGGGGTAAGTCCCAAAGGGAGTTAATCAGATTTTGGTGCCCTTTAATTTTCTCGAGTTTCTGACACAATCACTAAAGGGGTCTATAACCCAAAAAACAGGAGCTCAGAATATATCCATAAAGTGATGGATATTATAACCTAGTAAATATGATTTCCATTACACCTCATCAGACTGACAATTACATCTTTCGAATATGAAATTTATTAGATACAACATTTGGAAGTGAATTATTAGTGAATTTTTAATACTATATTATTATATGTGTTTTTATTTAACCTTACCAAATCAATTTGTAAAATAAGAATTATCTCCTACTTATATATATTGGTCATATTATAAGTCAATCAATTTGTAAAATAAGAATCATCTCTTACTTATATACATTATATTGGTCATGTTACAAGGCAATGCTAGATCTCCAATAATAGATTATCCATGCAACATTATGTTGATTTTAGTAGTCCCTTAGTTTCTATTTTTTTATCATATCTTTGCTTTCCGGAGGTAATTTTTTTCTGCTTTTTTAAAAATTCATTTTGCAGATATGGTGCTGAGATGGCTGTGATACTTCTCCAATCCGCAATATATCTGGGAGTAATAGCAATGACGCGTTTGGCAAGGCCAAGCTTCTCAAAGCTATGTTATAGGCGCTCTGATAAGAGCATGAACCTTGTGCATAACAGCCTCAAAGTTATAGCATTGTGGTGCATCCTCGCTGCTTACGCAACACCCTTCTTTATCATTCCTCACACGGTCCACCCTCTTCTGGGGTGGATCCTGTATTTGCTTGGTGCTTTTGCACTTTGTTCAATTGTAATTAATGTCTTTCTGCTACCAATTTTGCCGGTTTTGGTACCGTGGCTTGGAATTGTAGGGGCCCTTATGGTCATGGCATTTCCTTGGTACCCTGATGGCGTAGTGAGAGCGCTGTGCGTATTTGGTTATGCCTTCTGTTCTGCACCATTTTTGTGGGCCTCTATGGTGAGAATAGTAGCAGGTCTTCAGTTATCTCTAGAAAGGGAAGCTTTTTTTTCAACAAGATTGGGAGAATCTTCGCCAAATTCTTGGTTTAACAAGTTATATTGACTTGTCCAGTTAGGCACAATACAAGGCTGGGATGGGGCAAAGAAGGATCTTCTTGGCAAGCTCAGCAAAAATAGGAGAGAGCGTGATACATTAAATACCAAACGCGCCGTTAGAATTCACAATGAAATGGTCCAACTCAAAATTAGCTTAAGACTTGACTAGTTAATTAATTTATTGAGGTTGGTCCATGAACTAGATGAATCTAACTTGAATTGAAAATTAAACTCATTAATTGCATGAGATAATATTGAGTCAATGTATAGTTAGATTTATTTGGTTAATATATGTATGCATGTAATTAAAAATTATATAATTTCTTTACTTACAAAATTTTAAATTAAAAAAATGTATTTTTAATTAAACTTAAATATAATTTTTCCTTCGAGTTAGGGTTCAATTTCTTTTTGGTAATCTAAATTTGACAGTTGAGTATTTTGTTCTACTAAATTTGAAACTAATTTACTTTTACTTTTACTTTTTTTTTTTTACATTTATTTTAGTATTCTTGAAAGGTAGGAAATAACAAAAAAAAATATTGACCCAAATTTAAGAAAATAAAAAGTATTTAACTCTTTTATGTGCGTTGAATTTATATTATTAATTTTCAAGTTATAGCCATGATACTAATATAAAAAAATTGAACTCATAATTATAAGTATCATATTATAACAAATTGATTTTAATTTTAATTAAAATAAATAAAAATAATATGTAAAATCTTAAATTACACTATTTTAATTTTAATAAGACTTAAATTGCATTAGTATCTCAAAAATCAATTCAAAATACCTTAAAATGACACGAACAAACACGTAGATCAATTAGTATGAAGTTATTTTAACTTAGTGACATGAGTTCAAGTCATACATGATTTCATGTTAGATAAAAAAAAGTATTTTAAAATAATTTTACATTTAATCTTATCAACAATGTCACTGTTGTAGGAAGGTTGAGTTAAAATTAAATTGGTTGTATGTCAATTTTTTTTTATGCATTAGGAAAATAAAAGTGAAGACTAGTATCTAATGTGCATGACTCCCCATTATGTTTGCTAACATAAGAGGAGTTAAGTAACAAGGAGAATTCACCGTCGTATGGAGGAAGACATCATCATACTTAACATCATATTTGGATAGCCAATCAGTGCAATCATTTACTTCATGAAGAAAATTTCAAAAACAAATATTCCAATCAAAAAGCCATAAGGTCGTGTATCATCTCGCTCAAAGGAAATTATGGATAAAAATTATACTACTTGAATTGACATTCACTTGATCAGGCTAAATTGTATATCTAGTAGACGAGTACACATCGTCCAAATATTGTTATTTTAGTTGAATGATTATTTTAAGGTAAGTGATGTAGCGAGAGGTCGGTCATTTGAATTCATTGGCTACATAATGATACGTAACTAATGATTATTTTCAAATTCATTCCTGAGACAAAAGACACAACGAGAATCTTACTTCATATTTCATAATTTTTGTTCTACTGGACCATAACAATCCGATCTACATGACGGTTGCAGAGTAATTATTATCTTATTTATTTTATATGTTATCTATTTATTTAAATATTTTATATTAAAGATAATGTTTTACATATATTTAAAGGAGTACAACTACAATTTTTTTAACTTAATTCATATAACATTTTACATACACTAAAAGATTTTACATTATTTGACAGCCACAATCCACAGATACTTGAGATATCGACGAAAATAATGTAAAATATATCATCAATGTTAAAGTAATACATATTAAAATATTATTTGATCAATAAAAAATACATTCCACAAACATTAATTAATTCATTGTTATCAACTTTGAAATACTTCATGTTCATTAAAAAAAAAAAAAAGCCCTAGTAAATTAAGTTAATTAATATGTATACCAAGTCATTGTAGACTTGATCCTATTCAAATATCATTCCAAAATAATAGCCAGCGAGCAAATTCCCTTCATCCCATTTTTCCCATCATATCGTCATCAAAGTAATAAAAACGCTTCCAATTAAGGCTGAGGATTCAGAAATTTAGTAGTATCATTTAATGACTGATAACTAAAACAAATACAAAAAGGAACAAAATTATATTTCACAATTCCATAAGCTATTCTTTTGTCCTTGATCTATTGAGGCCATCTTTCCTCACGGACGATTCCTTGTTTAATAAAATGAACAAATGAGTTGTACTACTCACCTAAGCAGGTGGTCCTATTTGTTTCTTTGTTGTACCACACCAGTTCCATAATCCTGAGATGGTGTCCAGTGTCAAGTGAGCCGACCACATTTAATAATACATCACCAAGTTGGGATTTGGGGACTTAAAGAGAAGGGATAGATATCTATTTCTGTGTAAACCCCATCTCACGTGTACCACTGTTCCAGACAAATGCTGCAGAAGCAGGGACGTCCCAACTATTCTGATGATCAAAAACAAAATTTGATATTTACAGTTTGAACATCTGCTCAAAGTTCAACCTCTTGAAGATCTTCTCCAAAACTGCCACTTTTCACAGGTGTATGCATTAAAGATTCATTGGGCATGAATCTTGACGGTGGCATGCCCGAAGCTCCCCCTCCTAAAGGCATAATATCACCTATTTTTGGAGGGGTAAATGAATCATTTAAACTCCCACTCCATGAAGCTGCTCGGCGTGCATGAGCAAAATCAGAGTTACTTCCTTCGGTTGCTCTCTGTTTTGAGATGTTACCCATACTTGGGAACCTTTGAATGGGCATTGATGATTCATGATTGGGAGATTGGTATGACCACTCTTTTGTGACAGATGTTGAAGGATCTTCATTTATTACACTATCTTCATGGTTGCTTTCTGCTATAGCCTCCATTGTCTGCTCATTAGATGCTGGTACAGGAGTAGGAATGAAAAATTTCGCATTGGCAGCAAGAGCTGGTTTAACAGATGGAACAGATGGGGATTGAAACAAGTTTGCAGAGGTTCCACCACCTTGGTTGAAGGTGTCAACATACCTGCATGGTCCATAAAACATTTTCATCAATATTAAACCTTTCAAATTACGTTGATGACCGAGAGACAGATGAATAAGAGAATTTTCCTCTAGTTTCTGAAAACTGAGCTAGCTGCAAAGAATAATCAGAACCAATAGGTTGGCTCTTCATTTCTTTCTTGTCATGTGTAGTGTTTTTAAGATACATTTTAGTTAGGCCTACAAGACAATCCTCCGTATGCCTGCTCAGCCTAATAAAAGAAAAGATAAAATACATATTTTAAGATTCAACTACTATGCTAGCTTAGCCTTTTTTTAGGTGCTACAATTCTTACATATCTTTAAAGGTCCTCAGTTTCAAACTTGACAATCTATTAGGGAAACCAATTGGAGGTCCACTTTACAATGCTTATCAGCTAACAAGTATAACTGTAAAAAAAAGTTAAACCCTAATTGTGATTATAAAATATAAACAATCTAAACAAAACTTAACAAAAAAGAAAAAAAATAACTCTTACCTTGACCGAACACCCAAACGACCCCGAGCAGAAAATTGATTTGTAGTGGGTGGCATTGGTGGCATCCCTGGACTAAGTTCAGGACTAGAAGTTCTTATGTTAGAACCCTCAATAGGAGGTGAACTTTCAGTCTTCAATGCAGATCTCAAGTTGTATTCGGTTGAACCATTCTGGAAAGCAGCAGTTGTTGGAGGTGGTGGCAGTGCAGCTTCTTCAGCTGGAAGTTCAGCACCTTCTTCCACCCATGTCTTCAGCTTCTCATCATAATAGAACTTGTTTTTGTCCCCCAACTTAGCCTAAATATAATGTAGAATAAGATCCATTTGAAAAGGCACAGTCGGAAGCACTGTGGTGAATAAAAGAAAAATAAGAATAAAAAATAAAAAATCTAATTATACCTGTCGACCAGAGCGAGGTTTCAAGACAAGCCCTACTGTCTTTTGCAAAAGTTGCGAGCCAAACCCAAAGCGGGAAAAGCGAGATGTAGCCCCAGATGCCTGTGTTTTTCCTTGTGAATCAGGTGACGTTGTTTCCTGCAATACATCTCAACCAGAACTTTTCCATCAAAAAACTATAAAACCAAAAACAAGCAGAGGAAGGTGAAATTTTTTCACAATACACATTTCATAGTACTCACGCACCTGTCTTGGGGTTCTGCCAATATCTGGCTCAGAAACACTTCTATTAGGCTTAGGCATTCTATTATTGTCAGCTGTCCACTCACTTATGGGTTCCATTGAAGCAGATGGAACTAATGATGACATGGCCATTGTTGATTGGCTAGAGGATACTCTGGGTGCCATGTGTTGGTAATGTTGTTCACTACCATGAAAAGTTCCTTGCGATGACGATGGAGCAGGTGGTGGTAAACCACCAACAACTCGATGTGCAGTGCTATCAAAAAAGTTGAGCAATTTGCCAACTAATTTTGCAGGAGCCAAATTTGCAGCATATCCACCCTGAACATTTATTAATAAACAAGATGAGTATCAAGACTATCCTAATAATGAAGATTTAATAAAGAAATGAAGATTTAATAAAGAACAAGGGTGTACCTGTTGGTGAGTTCTAATCCTCTCCTCAAGAGATAATGCTAATTGTTTCCATGTTTCTACTTCTGGAGCACGACCAGTTTTCAAGGATTTCAGTAGTGCTTGGCAATACCTGAAATCAAAAAACAGCAATAAGAGGTCATAAAAAGTAATATCACAATTAAAATAATGTTACATGAACTTACTTCAATGAATCTGAAACCTTCCCCACTTCAGCTAGCATATATGCATATATAAGCTTATAAGGCTGAAATGGATGCAATGTAAACTGAGAGTTTCCAACCACCTTTGAATATTCATATAACTCAGTCCGCTGTCCAAGTACCAATTAGGTAAGATAAGTTTCAGTAATTCAATAAATGCATCATGCAACATACTGAATTGTATCGAACATGTCTTTTTCTAAAAAGCAACAGATCCTTTGGTGGCACAATATAACACACAGATGGGTTATTTTGAAACCTAACGAAACAAAAGGTTGAATATGAAATAAAATCATTTCATTTGAAAATAAATCTGGGACTAGAGAGAGAATTAGAAAAGGCAAATGCCATCTTTCAACCATCTAGACAAATATAGTACAGAATATGAAACGTCCTAGTCTGAAACAGAGAGCTTTTTGGCAGATGGACAAAGCATACACAATATTTTTGTCAGAAAAGGACTCAAAACATGTATATTCAACAGAAAAGCCAAATTTGTGGAAGAATCAAATTAGAACTAGAAGGATTCCAAATTACCTGGATAGCCTCTGGACTAGCATAAGTTCGAGGACATTTCCAGTGATCTGCTCCTATAAGACAGATTCTTGCACTATCTGAGTATAACTCAAAGTTTGCTTCAGCAACTAAATAGCAGATGTGTGCGGCAGTAATCTAAAATAAGAGTCTTAAATGAGAAGCATAATGGAAAACTACAAAATTCATTAAAGAAAATAAATGAAAGATTGAGAAGTGTACCTCACTTCTTTCCTTCCACAAGCAATCACCTAGGTGAATAATTACAAGTTCATCTCCTTTGGTCCTGTTTGCAGTTATTACAGCCAGATTTTCCTCCCAATCATCAAGCATACCATTAGATCCAACCTTAAATGACAAAGCAACAACAAACGTTTGAGCTTCCAAATCAAATAGAAACTGATATCTTCTAAACTATTGAAGCAATGTTACAATACATCAGGATTGCATACACTTTGCATGGCTTGTTATTTTATCCTATTAGGATTACCTGTGAAGACTGTTGAGCCATATAAGCACCAGGATGCCCACTAAATGAGGTATCAGTAGAGAATACTTCAGCTGGTTGCCCAGCAATTAGAAGACATAATGTGCGCAAAGGTGACCCAGCAACAAGCTGGCGAAGTGCCATTTGCTTCACTGTATCAACATAGAACTGCAAGGCAAATATGGACATAATTCACACCCCACAATGGAAGTATGAGAAAAACACTGAAAAACCCAAACGGACTGTCTTCCCAAGCATTAAATATCAGCAGAGTATTAAACTGTGAAATTTTGATATCTGACCTGATCGCCAAGTTGTGAAGCAAGAACAAGTGCAGGTCCCCACAATTGTCCTTCTTGAGCACATTGTAAAGCCTCCTTCTTTTTCCCAGAAACAAGAAGATTTTGAACCTCAAGAGCCATTGCCTATATCAAAATCAAAATTAGCAATGGCTAAAAAACAATATTGTAGTTGAAGTGGGTCAGGAGTTAAATACACACCTTCATTTGTTCTTCAGAAGGCAAACTTTGCAAACAATGACTTGGCATCCCATATTGAGGGAACTCTGTGCTACTCATCTTAGCAGATGCAAAAAGCTTTGCAACTGCCGACTCGGGAGTATCAGTTTCCTGTATCAAATACAAACCCCAAAAGGATAGCAAATTGGTGATTGATTCAATGAGGAATAGTATTCAGGCAATATGACCCAGAATCAGAGACTATCTCGGGGCATCATAAATATAGTCAACATGATTTTAGTTTTAGCCAAAGAAAAAAGAATAGAGCACAATAGCCATTTGCAGAGCAAATATAAATTATAATGTCAACAGAAGTGATTCTGAAAGGACATATACCATCTCCAAGAAATGCATTAATGAAAGTTGATCTAAAATTCAACACAATAATGTTGCAAATCATGTGCACAACACAGCTCTATAAACCATACAGAATGTTGATCAACCTTGAAAAGTATAGCAAATTCAGTTGCCAATGTTTACATGAATGGGGGAAAAGAATTTGAATGACTGTAGATGTAACTTACTTTTAGTATGGTGTCTGTACCAAAAGGAGAACGTAGCTTTCCATAATGTTGACAAGCTATTTTAAGCAAGGAAAGAAGGAGTCTCAACCTAACACCTTTCTTATAATCCATGTCAGGTGATTCGCAGTGTGCAATCCTCTCATCTAACCATTTGTACAGTTCCTTACTTCCAACACTCCCACCAACCAATGGACCTGGGAAAGATTGCTGGCTCAAAGCACGGAAATATTCACTGGTACCATTTCCAATGCTGATAGAATCCATATTTCCGGTGACAACTTCTATCAAGTTCAACACAGAAACAGAACCTTGTGCCGAATCCTTCAGATATAAATGAATATACAGTGTGAATCATTTTTTTAAATCACTCGTAAGAAAGTAGAGAATATAAAGGAATCGATATTAAGCAACCTCAAAGCCTTTCAGAAACCAGATAAAGCATAGATCAAAACTAAAAAGAGGAATCAAGAATTAACCTGGCTTCCATAGGATGAGCTCAAAAAACTAGGATCTTTCATTATGATGAGTTTCCCCCCAAATCCAAAAGTTACCAGAGCATGAGAAGGGCGTCCAGCTGATGATCTCCCAACATGAGGGGCATGTGAATACTGATCCCCACCCTGGATTGTTTGTGGAGAATAACTAAAGGGCTTTTGATTTTCAGTAAAATCATTTGAAAAAAAATTTTGTTCACTGATCTTTGTGTTTGAATAATTAAACTGTTGAACAATGTCACCACTAGGGCCAAAGCTCTGTGGTTCAAAAGTTCCATTAGCCAAACCATGATGATGGTTTACTTCATTGTAAGCAACTGATCCAAAGGAAGTATAAGAATTTTGTAGATCTTTGTTCACAGAAAAACTTGAACTGAAAGAATGATTAACTTGTTGGTTACCAGCAGAGGTTATATTATCCCCTCTTTTAGTAGCAGTACCAGTTGTGTACATGTCAAAACCCTGCTGAGGATTAGCACTATACAAACCACCCCAGCTGCCATCTATAGCCTGACCATCAACAGCCGGTGGTCCATAATTATCAGCTTGGCTATACTCATTATACAAACTATTACCATTAGATAAGAAAGTACTGGTAGAAGCATGCCCATTTTCAAGTACATGAACAGAAGACTGGTTGGTTGAATTGTAAGTTTCCAATGAACGCCATTCTTGGGCGATTGTGTCATAATACCAACCAGGATACTGAGGATCGAACACCATATGCTCTGGATACCCATTATTCCCTTGTGAAACCTGACTCCAACTAGACACATTTTCAGTTGTGCCAGTTTCGGCTAAGGTTCCAGCAAAAGATTGAGCAGTTTGTTGCATGTAAGAAATCTCTGTTTTCCCATCAGAAGGGGCTGTCCAATCCCCTGCTGTATTGGCTTCAGAGCTTTGCTGAGTAGTGGCTGTTACATCATAGTCATCTACTTTATACCATTGCCCAGTGTTGTAATCATACTTCCAGCCAGGATAAGCATCCTCCCAATACTGACTACTACTCAGATCTTGTCCATTTGTGTTTTCTTCTGAAGATGCAACATAAGCTTTACCCTCTTCATATTGTACATGATTAACTGAAGTATTTAAGCCATCACCTTGCCTGTTCGTGTGGCTTTCTAAAGATGCATCATAACCTTGACCCTCTTGATATTGCACATAATTACCAGAGGCATTTAAGCCATCATTTTGAACTTCATTACCAGGTTTCACCTCACTACTTAAATTATCACACACGTTCCCCAGAAAATCCCCAGACTGATCTCCCAGCTCACTGAAAAAGTCAGAATACGATCCAAACCCATTGCCTCCATCCAAATCAGCATGAAAAGAATTCCAACCCACCATCTTAACCCCAGAACTGCCGACTTTATCGTTCGTGACTGCTGCTGAAGTGGACGTGAATTCCGATCCCACCACAGTCCCATCATCACTGGGATCCACTTTACTATCAAATCCAACTGAACTAGAGGATGGCAACGAATTCCCCTCTTGTTCAACTCCCAGATCGGATTCCACAGCACCCAATTCCCCTTTGACTTCAACCCCACTCTCGCCAGCATCAGAATTCTCAAATGCAGCAGCATCAACATCACTGATTCCCAGATTTGCAAATGCTTTAGCTTCATCCCAATCATTCCCTTCGTCGTCGTCATGGCCAGACTTAACAATAGGCTCTATATCATCCTCAACCAGTTTGTCAAAGAAATCCTCATCCGTCTGATCCTCCATGTGAAATGGAGGATTCGAAGCCATCACCAAAAACCCTAACCCTTCACCGATTCCCCTTGATCCCACCAAAACACGCTCAATTAATCGCAGATTTCTTCACCTCGCCCAATTCCTAACCTCAAGCTCAGAGCTAAACCTCGAGATCCAAAGCGAAAATCCTCGAAGCTACTGCAACCTTAAAAGCTAAAACTCGAGTACAAGTAGCAAAAACCGAAAGAGAAAACAAGATCTGGGAATTCTGAAACGCACGCAATCCAATAACCAGAAATCAAGGAAAACGTACCTAAAAGCCTCAATTCAACAATTAAACTCTGCGATCCATGTTATCAATCTTGCAGGCTACCAGATAGAGAGAATATTTGGAGAGAGGAAAAGCCCTCGATTTCGTTCGCACCCACCAAGAACACAATACCACTACGTTTTTTCAATTTTTCATTATTTATTTATTGATGATATATTTTGTTCACCTCGTGTAGTTTTCTTCTGTTTATCCATTTTTTTTAATTTATTTTTCACGTTGATTTTGTGTTTATAAATATATAAAAAAAATGACTTTTTGGTAATTAGCAAAATGTTAGTGTGAAATTCTTTGTGTAGGTCGTTAAAAAGAAAAAGGAAAAATAAATACTGTGACAAAAAGTGACATTAAAAATATGCAATGCTACTTCCACATTACACATTCGGTATTTTAGCAAGGGTGTGGATTCAGATTTCAGAGGACTCCTATATTATCCAAGGGAACAATTAGAAAAGTTTTGTAAAAGTTTAAGTGTTAAACTTTAGAAAGACAGATAGATGAATTCCCAAGCTAAATCTTTTACAGTTTCTGCAACAAGCTTTATTTTTGTACCATTCTAGTATATACAGTGTCTATAAATATTTATTATATTTAATTAAAATTTAAAATAAATTAATATTTAAATTATTATATTATAACTATAATTTATGATAAATATTAATAAATATATAAGTATTTTGAAATTATGATAAATAAGTTACCTTATAATATAAGGATATTTTTATAATTAATTTTTAAAATTATAAAAACTAATATTTTAGTTTGTAAAATATGCACACAAAATAAATATTTATTTTATATACTAAAAATTAAAATAAATAAATGTTTTTGAATACATAATTTATATTATAATAAAAATTCTTTAAAATATATTTTAATCAAATAAATTATATTTTAGATTTATGATACATAATTTATTAATTTATATTGTGATATAAGTTTTTTTTAAAATATTAATATTTACAAAATATTGAATTTAAGTTAAAGATATAGATGAAAATAATAGATTAAAAGATGTAACATGATAAGGAAAAAAAATGGTATTTTTACGTGTAATACACATGATAATTTTTATTTTATAGTTAAAATTTATAATAATAATAATAATAAATATTATATTATATTATATAATATATTTATTGTGTCATAATTAAAATTTGTAATAAATATATGATTTTGAATATATAAATCTTGTTTTAGAATTATAATAAATAATTTATATTGTGATTCAAAATTATTTTTAATTATTAATGTTTTTAAAAAATATGAAAATGATATACTTAAAGAGATATAAGATTAATAAACATTGATGTAAATATATAAAATGGTGTAGAAAAAAATAATATTTGAATTTTCAAGATAAATATATATTTCATTTGGATATTTGAATATTGTTTTCTAAATAATAGATCATTTGTTTGATATAAAAATAAATAAATTATACTTTCAGTTTTTTACTTTATTTTTTATATTTATTTTAATCATTTAATTTTTATATTAGGTCCTTTATATCTTAAATTTAGAGCAATTACTAATATGATTGTTTTGAAGAAAAAAAAGTGCAAATATATTTAAATGTATAAATGTAGTAGTTATAAGAATTCATAATACTACACTAAAATTAATTAGTTATAACATTCATTTCACTACTATTAGGATATTTGCGAACTGAGATATCATGTAACAACAATCATATTAACATATTTTAAGCAAAACAAAATATCTTAAAATGTAAACAGCTATTCAACTTAACAGATTTTTATTTTGTAAGTGTGTGTGATTTTACATGTTAATTACAAATAATGATAAATTTAGATTTTATTTTTTATAAATTACAGGAAAGCTGAAAATCATCCTAAAATATAATAATTATTTGGTCTCTCAATTAAAGAATAATTTATAATGTCAAAATAATGATAATTGTTCGTAAATAAACAAAGTTACTAAATTCTGTGGTAGTTGTTTGATATTTATATCATATGAATGATTCTGCATTTTTTAGGATAATTATGCATAGTCATTATATATTTTTAGAATAAAATAATCCGTACAATTCACATGTTAAAATGGTAGTTAAATAAATAAATCAAAATTTGATATTGAAAATGAATTAATTTTGTTTTTTTTTATAGTAATCAATAAGTTATGATTTTTTTATTTACTGAATTATGAAAATATAATAATCTAAAAGTAATAAGTTGAAGTATGAAAATATAATAATCTAAAAGTAATAAGTTGAATTATGAAAATATAATAATCTATAAATAATAATTTCACATATCACATGTTAATCACAATTTTCTTTTAGTAAATAATTATCTGGTACGAAGATAATTATTAAATGGAAATTGGTGATTCTGAATTTAGTTTTTTTTAAAACAAACTCTTGAATTTGAATTTTATAAATAAAAAATATAATTAAGATGAGAGATATTATTAAAAATAATTAGTAAATTGCTTTAATATAAATTAATAATCATTAAAGTCTGTTAATAATTCAGTATTAAACATAAAAGAAAAAAAAATACAACCGCTTTACTTGGAGAATGCAGTGACGTGGTGAACTTAGTAAATCCGTAGTCTTACTGTTTATTCTGATCTCCTTTTTATCTTGTGGCTGTGTATTCTCAACAATCCCCTTGTATGATGTATCTTACACCCGACAACTTTGAAAGAAACTTTAGTTCATTTTTTTATTGATTAAAATTACTTTATCAGTACTAAGATTTAAATTTAAGATAATGTATATATATATATATTTTTTAGAGGATAAGATAATGTATATATTATTTCGCTTTCTAATAAACTGATATTACCAAAAGAATAATTTATTGATGGTTGCGATGCGGGATGCAGCTATGACTTTTGTCTTTATTTGTGATAAAATTAGGTGCGTATGCGCAAACCAGAAATATAGTTTGGTGGGTATGCATTATTTTTTGTACTTTCAATCATAGTGTAAAAAATGGAAATATAAACAAAATTCTGGGAAACAAACTTGGATCTCCCCGAAAGAAGGTTTTCGGTTTTAAGAGAAAATGTCAACCAACCTTGTATATTTCCATCATTCTTTTTAAGAAGTTTCATCTAACATGCATGTTTTGTTTAGAAATAATTTAGAGAGAAAAAAAATAGAAATGATAAAAATAATATAGAAAAAAAATGGCTTAGAGCCTTAGATGATAAAAATAAGAAAAAGAAGAAAAAATCACTTATTTGAATAAATACAAACGAGAGTAGAAATAAATTATATAAAAATATCTTATACTAATTAAAAACATCTTAATATTAAAATATAATAAATTAAATATATGTTTATTTTATTTTTCTTTTTTATATTCTCAATACCTATTATTCACATTTTTTATAATGCAGTTTTATTAAAGTTAAATAATTTTCAAATTAATAGATATGAATTTAATAATTATATAACACACACACACGTATATATATGTATACAATTTTTATTTTTTTATCTTGCCACGAAGTTTAAATACTCATCTTAAGTATGAAGTACACTATGTTAAGAAGGGAATACTTATCTTGCATGAGTTCATGATCCTCGATAGAGATTAATCATTACTTTCAATAATGAATACTTCGTACCATTACCATGATTACAAAATATATATATA